TAGGCCTACTTTATCCTTCTTGACCTACAACTTTAACACTGTACAGGACACCAGTTTAAAATCTTCCCTCTTCACTATGGTCTTAGTTCAATAATGAAACAGTTTATTTAGCCAGGAAAATACAGATGTAGAGTGGATAATAATAACGATATCAACATGGTTAAATAATGAAGAAAATTATATTAATGAATTGGCAACTCAACTAAAACCACAGCTGCCACAAGATCTCACATCAAATTTTCTTCATTATTTAACAAAATATACGAACATTTGGAAACTTCTCATGACCTTAAATAACAGTGATGCAGCCAAAAACAGATCCACCAATCACAATCACCTCTACATACAGCCTTCCTTTACCAAGTATTGCCAGGTAAAATTTCTAGCGCGAGACCTAAGGTGGGGTCGGTGCATCATTGACTGACTGTACCTCTCCCTAAGTCTTCCTCAATCTATTCATAGGCCTAATTGCTCTTTAAAATGGCTTCTAAATTCAGTTATAAGGACTATACCTGTCCCGTCTCATCCCATGTTTCTCTCATCTCTCGCTCACAGGGCCGCCCCGCCATCCTACAGTCATCTTAACACACTCGGTAATCCTATGAGTTACCGCCTCAAGTCCCTGGGCCTGGCTGACCCTCTTGACAGTTTCACGAGGTCATATAGGTGACCTCTCTTGACCCACCACTGTCAAGGGGTCTTAAAGGTGACCTCTCTTGACCCACCACTGTCAATGGGTCTTAAAGGTGACCTCTCTTGACCCACCACTGTCAAGAAGTCTTAAAGGTGACCTCACTTGACCCACCACTGTCAAGAGGTCTTAAAGGTGACCTCTCTTGACCCACCACTGTCAGAGGTCATAAAGGTAACCTCTCTTGACCCACCACTGTCAAGGGGTCTTAAAGGTGACCTCCTTGACCCACCACTGTCAGAGGTCATAAAGGTGACCTCTCTTGACCCACCACTGTCAGGGGTCTTAAGGTGACCTGTCTTGACCCACCACTGTCAAGAGGTCATAAAGGTAGCCTCTCTTGACCCACCACTGTCAAGGGTCTTAAAGGTGACCTGTCTTGACCCACCACTGTCAAGAGGTCATAGGTGACCTCTCTTGACCTACCACTGTCAAGAGGTCATAAGGTGACCTGTCTTGACCCACCACTGTCAAGAGGTCTTAAGGTGACTCTTGACCCACCAGTCAAGATGTTTTTAAGGTGACCTCTCTTGACCCACCAATGTCAAGAGGTTTTAAGTGACCTCTCTTGACCACCAATGTCAAGAGGTCTTAAGGGAGACTCTCTTGACCCACCAATGTCAAGAGGTCTTAAAGGTGACCTGTCTTGACCCACCACTGTCAAGAGGTCATAAAGGTGACCTCTCTTGACCTACCTGTCAAGGAGTCTAAGGTGACCTGTCTTGACCCACCACTGTCAAGAGGTCATAAGGTGACCTCTCTTGACCCACCAATGTCAAGAGGTCTTAAGGTGACCTCTCTTGACCCCACCACTGTCAAGAGGTCTTAAAGGTGACCTCTCTTGACCCACCACTGTCAATGGGTCTTAAAGGTGACTTCTCTTGACCCACCACTGTCAAGAGGTCATAAAGGTGACCTCTTGACCCACCACTGTCAAGAGGTCATAAAGGTGACCTCTCTTGACCCACCAATGTCAAGAGGTCATAAGGTGACCTCTCTTGACCCACCATGTCAAGAGGTCATTAAGGTATCTTGACCCCACCATGTCAAGGGGTCTTAAAGGTGACCTCCCTTGACCCACCACTGTCAAGAGGTCATAAAGGTAACCTCTCTTGACCCACCACTGTCAGAGGTCATAAGGTAACCTCTCTTGACCCACACCACTGTCAAGGGGTCTTAAAGGTGACCTCCTTGACCCACCACTGTCAAGAGGTCATTAGGTAGCCTCTCTTGACCCACCATCAAGGGTCTTAAAGGTGACCTCCCTTGACCCACCACTGTCAAGAGGTCATAAAGGTAACCTCTTGACCCACCACTGTCAAGAGGTCTTAAAGGTGACCTCTCTTGACCCCACCACTGTCAAGAGGTCTTAAAGGTGACCTCTCTTGACCCTGTTAAGAGGTCATAAGGTGACCTCTCTTGACCCACCACTGTCAAGAAGTCTTAAGGTGACCTCTTGACCCACCACTGTCAAGAGGTCTTAAAGGGGACCTCTCTTGACCCACCAGTCAAGATGTTTTAAGGGTGACTCTCTTGACCCTGTCAAGAGGTTTTAAAGGTGACCTCACTTGACTCACCAATGTCAAGAGGTCTTAAGGTGACCTCTCTTGACCCACCAATGTCAAGAGGTCATAAAGGTGACCTTTCTTGACCCACTACTTTCAAGAGGTCATAAAGGTGACCTCTCTTGACCCACCACTGTCAAGAGGTCATAAAGGTGACCCAATGTGCTGTTATTGGGTCAAAACTTTATCTTCAGCTCCAAAAACTTTCAGGAATTGACCTTCTTGACCGGTCTCTGGTTGTGTATGTATGTATGTATGTATGTATGTATGTATGTATGTATTACTAAACTGAGTGGAGAAGAAGAAGAATGGAAGACAAAGCAAAAATAGATAAGGGAGAAGCAGCAAGAAAAAACAAACAGAGAGACGGGGACGATAAAAGGCAGAGAATGACAGGAGAGAGAAAAAGAATGAAGGGAGAGGGAGAGAAAGAATATGATTTGGTAGGTAGAGAAAAAGAGAAAAAAAGATTGATAAGATTGAAAGAAGAGATAAGGAGTTGTAAATAAGGTGAAAAGAAAGAGAGAGAGATGGAGAAAGGGGTGTTGTGACGGAGTGAGATCCCCCATTTCTCTCTCTCTCTCTCTCACGATTTAGTTATTGAAGAGAATTTATCATAGTTTGTGCTCAATAGTCTTAACTTTTCTGTGGGTCTTGTTTGTGGTCACACATACATACATACATATCAAGTACAGAGACCCTACATCAAGACCTGGGCAGATTACTGACTCTAGTTGTGCCTCGCCTCTTCGGGCAGTGGATAGTTCACCATCCTGGACTGAAGTGCTGGCGTGGATGACATGGAAACCAAATGGATAAAATTATACAACACCACCTGGGCTCACCACCACTTCTTCACAATCCGTCAGATCTCACCCAGCGGCTTGCCTGGATCACACCTCCGGATCAGAAGCTTATGCAACAGAGGGTAGAGGCCTTTCATCTCAATGACCACATCTGCTACAGGTCACTTCGCAGCCGAGTCATCCACCCGAAATACGCACTGCAAAAGGTCCACTACCCAGCAAATTACAACACCTGGAAGCAGGCCAGCATCAGTCAATGGGCATAGTAAACAGAACTCTGTGGACTAAAGCAATAAGACACCCCCTCCCTTCCTTAGGCCATCTCACTAATAATGTTGGCGGCGCAGCTGAGCAAACCATCAACCATTTGCGCTACTATGCCAGACTGGCTCCACGGCAAGCACAACCACTCTCCCTGCTTACCTACTGGCCCCTTCCACTGACAGTAGAAAGAATTTGGAAGTAGCAAAACGCCTGGACAAACTAAAATTAAACGCTCTACCAC